ATTAGGTTGGAGGCCATCGCTAGTAATTAGGTTGGACGCATCAGGTTGGAGGCCATCACTAGTAATTAGGTTGGAGGCATTAGGTTGGAGGCCATCACTAGTAAAAACCACCTTGGCCCTTTTTCGACGAAAGCATCTCTTTTCTCGTCGAGGCCATCATGGCTGATGTGGCCGATGCAGTCCCCTTGCGCCGCGTACGGCGTGCCTTCCTCCGGGCGTTGGGCGGTCTATCGGCCACGAGGCGCCTGAAACGAGCGCGCGGTGCGGCAGTTGAAGGCCTGCCCCTTACAGAGTGATACATTTAGAAGAGATGAGGGGGGATCATTTGGTGTGATGTGTTTTGTTCCGAACATCTTGGAGATTTTCACGAGCTCTTTTTTGAAATACACATCGACATGATCTACAGTCAAAATCAACAGATCACACACACATACACACCCTAACCTGGCAAAAACAAGGGCACCTAGGTCATGGCATGCGGCCGCCAGGTCACCACTATTGCTCGTGGATCGTCGAGAGCGTCGGCAGATCGCAAACCTCCCTGAGGCAGATTCGCGGCTCAGGATGCAGCATACCCCAAGTAGATAATTAGTAATTATATAGATATATTTGGCAGTTTGGCATTGATTTGTTGATGCACGACTCCATGTTTGGCACGAAAATGCGTGGAACCTCCAAGAATTCCAGCAGGGTTTGGCATTGTACTTCGCGATAGGATGTGGCATAAGTTGTGCATGTAATCTTTTTCAGCGGAACTTCCAAAGGGTCAATGCAGGTACGCTGTGGTCTCACACGATGACATCCAGGAACTTAAGTGAACATGTGTCCTGGCCACGCCTACGGGCTGCACCCTCAATTCACGGAACATGGGAGAATCAGGGATCCAGCAGGTTTCAGGGTTCCATTTCCGCCTTGTTGGTACCCCAAAGGCCCAAAGGCTAAGAACAGACACAAGCCACTGAGCTGCTCGGCAGGGTCAGCACCAGGTACTATGAACTACCATATGGCTTTCCCCGAGCCAACCTCATGTTGTTTTGTATTTTTTCCAGCACGAGCGGCAGAGCCCCAGCTCCTTCGGAGGTCTTGGAGACACTTGGAGGGCTGCCTGGAGGTGGGGACAGGGGGGGAAGCATGACAGTAAGAAGAACACCGATGATGAGATTGAGGACAAGTAGTTCAGTTTTCAATGGAAAGATATATAGGTACACCGGTACACTGCAGGAACACAACCTGACAAGATGGCATGATCGGAGTTGCGCTATCCTGGTTGCTCCGATGTTGCAGTAGGAATGGAACTACCAGTCGAATCTTCCAATGTCCCGAATGGGGAACCAGAATTTGGTCAGTTGCAGTCATGCCGCGCTTCTTTGGAATTCGTTTGAGAGTCAGTTTACGTCAAGACTCTACCTGCAGAGCCTCGGATCTCATCGCCCCCATTCGCAGGACATGAGCTGATTTACTGTGAGAACCTGACACTCGCTGAGACCGGACTCCCAAGCGTGGGTGCGTAGTGCGTGGTTTGGAAGCTGTGTATCAGAAGCTTGGGGAAGACCTGGACTGCCAAACCAAGCAGTGCACCTTCTAAAAGACTTGGAACAAAAATATGGTTTTCCCCTCTCAAAAGACTTGGATTCGTTGAAGCGATGCCGTGGAAACACTACAGATCAGATCAGTCGCTTTGAGGTTCCAAGTTGTTCTCTCTGCAGCTGAAGCAAGTGGACTGACCCAAGTGGACCCTGGTTTGAGTGACTGGGGGAGGGCGACGTGCTTTGCAGCACCTTTACATATCATCCCAAATTGATGGTTCTAGAACCACTCACCACCCTGCCACCAACCCTCCATGCAGATCCGGTGTTTGATCCTTCGAAGGGTTGAAACCGGAATGGTCTCGCCCGATGGACCTGCGAGTTGGGGTTTTCAGCTCTACAATCTCCATTCGTACTTTGCTTGGGGCTTATATATTCCTGGTCTGCGTCGACCTACACGATGCGTACTGACGTGCCGTGTGACATTCGGTATCGGTCGCGTACTGTACAATTCATTGAACTTGCACTTCTTGGCCACCAATTCCCTTCCCTCATCCCCTCCTGCCCTGCAAACACGCTCCAAGTCCTCCGGCTTTTTTTGTGGCCCAATCTGACCGAGGCAGTTGTCCCACTTCGCTGCAGCTCGTGGTGCAGTGGCCGTGAGCGGTGCCTGCCTGGCCAACAGTCTCTACATGCCGGAGGCGCGTTCTCGGCACGGCCGGGGTTTGGCCGGACTGAAGCGGGTGGTGAAAAAGAGGTGAGAACGAGGATGATGAGAGAGGAACTTACTAAGACTCTGGTCTTGGATCAATCAAAAAGGCCCTCCTTCGGATTGAACAGGCTCTCCCTGATTTCATAATAACAATATATATATATATATATTTTTTTTTAAAACATGGTTTTACTCATCAACAGTCTGCATTACTACGCTTCGGTCCGGGCACCGATAGATGATGCGAACGACCCAGGTGCCGGGCGGTGTCACTCGTGCGAGTGACGAGCTTGGTCCGCGCTTCGACGATGGAAAAACCTCAGGGCTCCTTGGTGGTGGATGCGGTGCCGCTGAAGAACTACATCGGCGCAGATGTTGTGATGTCACCGTGCCTTTGGGATGAAGCTTAAGCGAGGCTAAGCGATTGGGTGAGGGAGTGTGCCGCTCACGATTCGGTGGATGGTGGATGAACTTCTAAAGAACTCTCCCCGAGAAGAGCTTTTACAATCCAAATGCATCCAAATGCGCTCTTGGGGGGGTTCTTCATCAACCGTCTATGTCTATATTGCACGAGGAGATGTGCCAACTCTTACGGTGACTTTTTCACCCTGAAAGGAGATGTGCTGAACAACATCGGCAGCGGTGAAATGGAGGGTCAGGATGTGGTGCAAAGCCCACCCAACGCGGGAATATTTGCTGAGATGTGCTGAGAATCGGGCAACACTTCACTCTGACCATGGCCTCATGTGGCAGGTGTTGTTTGACTGGAAGGATCTTTTGTTCCTTGCTGTTCCCTGCCAGTAAACAGCTTGCAATTTGTTTGATAATTTGATTCGATTTTAGGAATGTGCAGTCCTGAGGCATCCTGAGTCCTGAGCAGGAGGTCTTGACATCTTTGCCATTCTTTGCCCATGCATTTCATCCAACGCACCTCAAAGCAAAAGGTCGGTTTCTTTGCTTTTGGTCCATGCGGGGCGTGGCCCACACACCATCCTGATCCCTCCGGTCGGGTTTTTCGGACGCCCAGGGAGTGTGGGACGACGTGGTTCTGGAGCCTCACGCAGAATGTCACCTGAGCAGCAAGGAGGGCGAAATCGAACAACCACTGGGTGACCGCAGCTCTATCGTGTACCACGACTTGGTGGGCCATGGCGGGCCTGGATTGTTCACGGCTTGACCTTTTAAAGATGATTTGAGACCATGACATTCAACATGCTTTAGAATGAGCTGGCAATCATGATGTGGTTCTGTGACTGTTGGGTCCAGCACAGCGCTTCCAAGAGATCACTCACCAGACGTCTTATCCCAACATCCTTTGCTTGTCGCATCACCCTTCATCCCCCGGTCACGATGTGTCAAGAAATGGCCCCCAACGCCTCCATCGCCTCGTCTGCCGCACGCCGGCACGTCCGACGCTGCGACGGCGGGTGGTGCCACTCGTACGACGCTCAGGTGAAGGTCCTCTATCGCACGCTGCTGCTGCCACAGGAGGACTTGGACGCCGACTTCGTGACGCTGCCGGCCGCCTGGATGCCGTGGCGGGTGAGGATTGGGGGTGAGGATTGGGGGTGTGGAGAAGTTCTCTTTGTTTCAAGCGTTTGGACAAATGGAAACGGGTCCCTCTAGCATTCCTGAAGGAGTTTGCTGGATGAAGAGATGGCTGGGAGGTGAGTGTTTAGCTGTTAGGCGGTACCTAAGAACTGAGCAAACGAAAAGCACTCTGGCGATGCTTGAGTTCACAATACAAATCTGGGGGTGATCCCCTTTTCCTCTCCTTCATGAGCATACTCGACATGTTTTTCTTCTCGTGTCCAGATTAAACCTCGCTGGATGCGCCATGTGTGTCTCACACCCGCGAATCTCAGCGAAAGGTGCTGTTGGAAGACCTGCCAGAAAGCCAAACAAACAAGCTTGGTGCCTTCAGACTTGCCCCAAAGCTTAGCACCACTATCCAGATTATCCAGCACCCCAACCAGCATCAGGCAGTAGTTCACCCCAACAGCACCCTTTTTTTCCTGCCTTAGAGGCTGAATGCTTCGGGAAACTGCCAGGCTTAGAGACGTGTGCGCAGAAGCTCCTGCGCCGAACCCTCAGGTCGATCGTCTCAGAGAGGTCTTGACCCGCGACGGCGCGCCGCTGCGCGGAGCGCAGCAAGCCGCTTCCGTGGAGGAGTGCCTTTCGAGGCACGAGAGGAGAAGTGTCGGGTGGGGTCATTTGGGTGTGACATGCTGTGAAACGAGTGGAAGGTTGTGCCAGATTTCGATAGATTTCGTCTATCAAGATGGCTTCCTTGCCATTGCATTGCGAAAGGATTCGTGAAGCTGCAGCAGAAAACCTCCAATAGGAGTGGAAGTTCATGTTCTCTTCAAAGCCCTTTGTAGTGGATGAGGACTGAACTAATATATAACAATATATATGAATCTGTGGTTTCTGCTTGCACATGCTTGCACTCTTGGTTTCCACTTGGACTAATTTCCAGTAGACTAATACACATCAGTCCATCCAAGGTCAAAGCCATTACCCCATACCATTAGTGAATAGTAATCTTGCAGAATGACAAGCTCGACCAGCTGGAGTTGTGCACGCCCAGTGATGACCCAGACCCAGACCATCAGATATCCATCCCTCACACTGGCAGATCTTTAGCACAACTTGGACAACTGCATCACTTCACCCTGCTAGTAGGGTTAGTAGGGTTGCTGGTGGTTTAGCTGAGCAGTTTCGAGGGAAGGTTGCTGGTGGGTGCAGCTTGAAGGGAAGTTCTTTTTGGGCCACTCAATAGAAGTCCAACCCCATTCCATGCTCCTCCTATGGATCTTTATCAAAATCCGTCGAAATCCAAGCGTCACCAGTCACGAAACACGACACTTCGGAACCATCCCTTTGTGCTACTCCCAGCGACCTCACACGTTTTGCCCAAGCATTCGAGTGATCACTGGAGGCCAAACCCAGAGCCTGGGAGCCAGAGCCTTTGCACTGCTTCCAGTGTTGCCAGCGAGGCAGAATGCGGAAGAGGATGGGTATGGAGCGATGCGTGCAAGGAATCATCATATATTGTGGTGCGCACAGTTTCAATGGATTGTTTATTTGTCTGTTTGTCTCCTGGTCAAAGGACGGAGGTTTTCCACGGCAGGCGGAGCAGTTCTGCGGCGCGGCGTGGGCCTCCGGACGGGCGTGGGCACCGTGCTTTCAGGCACGCTTCGGCGGAAGCGGGGGCCAATGGCGTCTTCGGCGCGAGTGAATGAGGCGAAAGAGACGAGGAACGAGACGAGGAACACATAAGAAAACATCGAATTTCGAAGGACGTAGCTTGAAAGGGCAGCTAGGCGGTCATCTACAAATGCTCTTGGGTTCGAAGCTGCATTACGTGAGGTTTTTTAGGTGTTCAGAAGTGTTTGCTGATGTTTGCTGTTTGTATTGGTTTGGTTGGTGACTTGGAACGGTCACGCTGACAGCCCAGGCCCTGTCATCTGAGTCATCTACGTGTCCTACGTAGCTAACCTTGGGATGTGGCAGGTAGACAAAAAACGAGTGTTTCTGGAGAAGTAGATGACCCCGAACAATCTGCTCAACGAAGTCTTTTTCTCCAGTATAGGGAGAATTGGACGGGGTGTTGATTCCAAGATCCATCATTGACTGTCAATAGGCCGTGGTGGAGGGCTTCTACTGCCGCAAGATAGGTGGATTTGTTCGTTCCTTGGTTCTCTTCCCTTCAAAAGTGCCTTCTTGCAGGGCAAAATCTGTCTCTATTTCATCTATAGTAACAAAGGCCATCGCTACGAACGGAGCAAGGACGCTAATTTACTAGTAGCTCCTGGCTTTACTACTACTACTACTACTACTACTACTACTACTACTACTACTAGTAGCTAGAAGCTACTAGTAACACTGTAGCCTGTTGATTCCAGGTCCTCCCAGAGTCTGTTCCAAGGCAGGGGGCCGGATCGCCACGGTCACAAGGGACCGCGTGGACAGCCGAAGTCCGCACAGGAGTTCCATCGGGCAAGACTTCGCACATCGAAGGAGGGGCTTCGGACCAGTGGGAAGGCTCAGAGAAGGATGCAAAAAGCTTATCCAATGCATTCGACAGCGAATCATCAAGAACCTGAACAAACCTGATTATACCTGAACCATATTATCTACAAGAAACTTAGGAGATGACCAATATAACTATTATGAACCTATTATAACCGTCATATATATGTCATTGTACAGTAATTGAATAGAATCATGCTTTAATGTCTTTGAAGGGCTTCGGGCGAAACCTCTTGGTTTCTCTTGCCGTACAGCTCGCTTCGGGTGATCCCGCGTTGGTGGCTGAGGCTTGTCAAAGTTGCAGCACGATGTCGAGATGCTCTCCTACTTGGAGGCCAGACTCAAACATCACTGGATCTGCTGGATCCACCAGGTCAGTGGTCAGGGCTGGGTCGAGGATTCAAGTGGAAAGGGGGGGTCCCGGAGTCCAAACAGAGGGTGGCTATGGCTTCCATGTCTTGCTTGGGCTTGGGGAGTTCGCAAAAGTCGGGGAATCATCATGGCTTTGCTGAAGTCCTTTGTCCTTCGTACAGCGAAGTGTCTTCTTACTGCGAAGTCTACTCATCCTCCCAGTGTCCCATGACGAATCCGTGCTTCTTTGAGCCCAACCCATGACGAATCAGCAAAAAAAAACACCACATCACAGTGTCAAAGTGTCATTAGATAAGATCAGCCAAGCCCCCCCCATCCCCTCCAACCGGTCCAACCGCCATCGCTGAACATCACTGGCAGTCGTTCAACATCACTGTGGAGGGCTTGCCGCTTCTACGAGCTCTTCATGACTTGGCGGCCAAACGCTACCAGGGCCGGCCGTCACAGGCGTGGACGCATCGCATGAGGACTTCTTTTGTTTTCCGCATCGCAAGGAAAATCCGGACGCTCCAGAAGAATCTCGGTTCGGATTGGATCTCGGTTCATCTGTTTAGGTGATGAACATGCAGGCGTTTGGGGCTTTTCACACTCGATATGTTGTCACGCATGGGCCCAGCCGAAGGGTAGCCGCAAGCGTGGCGAATCGCCATTTCTCCGGCGCGGGCAGGCCTTTGAGATTCGCCTGCCACTGAAGGATTGGCGCCGTAGCCAATTGCTGGAGCTGCAGAGCGGGCGGCGTTCGCCATCAGGTCGGGTTGGAGAAGGAAGCAACATGATACCTGGATCCAGATTTGAACATCTACATACATCTACCATCATCTACAAACAGTCACTAAAATGAAGGCTGATGTGAATGGACACCTGGGTTATGATATGGGTCAAGATCCATTTCATTTCCCAGATGAATCATGATGAGTATCAATGAACATTCCCGGTCAAGGCTCGAAGCAATTGGTTGGTTGCTTGGGTTATTTTTTCTCTTTTTGCAAACTCTAAGACCCAATGACTTGGACCATATTGACCCACATCCATTCAACCATCGGATGCCGTGGCAGGTGCTGCTGAACCGCGCGGACCGCACATGCTGGCGACGCCTTGGCGCTTGCAGACCGACGTAGCGATGCTGGAGCGGCGATTGGCAGAACAGGGGCATGTGGTGGTGGAGGAGGTGCCGAACAGTTGGAGTAAGGAAGGAAGACAATGGGGTGGACAAAAGTGGAATGATGTGCTGCATAGGAGTGATTTATATATGTGTTTGTGTTGTGTGTGTGAGAAAGTGAAGGGATCGCTACGACGAACAATTATACTGTACTACGTAGTTTGGGTTTAATGATTGTCTTGATGCTGAATTGCTGCCTGCATCGACACCCTCCCTTTTACCAAACATGCCGTGCCCCGCGACAGCGAACCCACAGAATTCCGTGCCCGTGAACCACCGTGAACCGGTGAAGAGCGTGAACCTGCCGGGTGATGCTGAGGTGTCAGCTGGGCAGGTTGCTGGGCTGGGAGCTTGTGAAGTGAATAGATGTCAATGGTACCATATGGTACCTGTTCTGAATTTTGTTTATCATCACCAACAAACGAACAACTTAAAGTTTCATATTTGTTGGTGTTCTTTTCCGATGAGGAACTGGCATAAGTTACATCAGTCGCTTCATCCATCGCTCAGTCACTTCCAGACTCCAGGTTGACAGGCGAAAAGCCTTGTGTTATCTTGTGTCAGAGAAAGATCAGCACGGCAGTTGCGGTGCTTTTTTGGTGTGTGTGTTTTTATTACTATTATTATGTCTATTTTTTTTTGTGTCAGTTTCACTTGACAGTTTCTATTTTGCTGACCATGCCTGAGGGTACTTTGATCATCTTTGATCAAATTTGTTGTTTTCCTGTTGCTTTCAGCAAATCACAGTGTCATTGTGGTCATTTGGCCCGGACGTCGAATCAGAAAAAGATGTGTCGCCAGGTGCTTTCCAGGACTGCGCTGGACTTCGTCAAACGAGAGCTGCAGGAACGCATCATGTGCCTCGTGTTGAATTTTTGGCGGTTCCCCGCGGCACGGTACGTGGACTGGTAAGGGGGTTCCATGGCGCCATGACCCATAGGAGCCCCTAGTAGCTTCTTGTAGTAATTAAGGATGCTCCTAGTAGTACGGCCAGGAGCCCCTAGTAGCGTCCTTGCTCCTAGTAGCGATGCCAGGAGCCCCTAGTAGCTTCTTGTTAATCCCCAAACCACCAACCTCCCAGTGCACTGTTCCCAGTGTCCTAGTGAATTGTCGGAGACTCGGTGACTCTGGGTGTGTGTCCTTCCACCGATTCCAGGTTACTTGAGCAGAAAGAATGAGATGTTTGCGCAATGCCATATGCCCTTAGTGATTGAGATGGTTTTTAGCTTGATTGAAGATCACCAGTCGTCATCCCTCGTCACCCATGGCCGTGCCAGTTCGGCGATCCCTCGGACGACCCGCTTCCGCCAGCTTCCGTCGCACACCGGCTTCAGCACCGTTGCCGCGGAAGCCGCGGGGACGCCACGCGCCAGAACCGCCCATGGCACCTATCAGCGCCGTGGATCAGCTGGAGGACGCGGAGAATGGCGCGGCGGGGAGGATCGCGCCACCGGTGGTGAAGAGGATTCCCATCAAGGCGCGGACGCCGAGGTTTACCTCCTGCGTTCGATGGTTTGACCATAGCTCGAGGCGATCAGAGGCGATCAGAAGCTATCAAAAACATCTGGAAGCTTACTACCCCCCTGCCACAGGCTGCGGTTTCTTGGTTGAGTGGTGTTGGAGAAGTGAAGGAAAGGACCCCTTGGAAGTCAGCATCTCAAGGTGTCATAGGTAAGGTCATTCTGAAGGTCAATGTGAAGCATTGCCAACCAAGAAATCATGCGCAGCCCGACGCGAACTTTTGAGTCCACAGGCGGGCCCTGGTGTGCTTGGCGCCCGATCCAGTCTGCGCGCCGCACGCGGTGCGCGCGCGATCGGTGCGCGGCAGCTTGAGCCACCGCCTATCAGTGTGCCGGCCATGCTATTGGATGCCGATGAGCAGCGGGTCTTGAGCCCTGGAAATGATGAATTGAGGATAATTGACGTGATCTTGCTTTGTGAAGCTTTACTACCTCAATTACTACCCCAAACTAGAGAATGTCACGGGCTTCCAGTCCAGGTGCTTTAAGGTGCAGGTCCAAGTCTTCAATGTCAGAGCTTAATCCGAGGAATTATCAGACGGCAGTGTGGTGCTTTGCCTTCCTGGAGACTTGGCTGGCAATATCAGGGGGACTTGCAGGATCGATTTGTCAGCATAAGAATCGATTCCTGCTTGGGAGAAGTGTACTCCAAGCAAAGCTGAAAAGAACAGCTCTCTCCAACCCCAAACTGCAGGAGATTCTCAAAAATCAGGATGGACTGAGAACATGGCCGGCCTAAGCAAACTGAGTCCACGAGTCCACGCATTGACTTTTGGGATCTTATAGGACAGCCAGTCGCAGTTCAAAACTTCAGACAGGAACCCTTTCTGCCTTGAAGGGCAAGAAAAGCAAGTACAAACCTCCCCTTGGCATATATAAAACGCCCCTGAAATTCCTTGAATGAGGGTATTGGATGGTCTTGGCATGTCAGGGCGGCCCAAAGTGGATTTCATTGGTGGCAAGCTGTGCCGAAAAACTCCGTCGGGATCGCAATCAAAGCGCGAGCACGATCCAGGATATCCTTTCAACAATTCTCAACATCATCGCAGCCTATGCGGATGGATTGCCGTGGGAGTGGCCCCAGCTCTTTGTTGTGCTTCTGATTTTGCTTGGGCCAATTTGTGGTATGATGGGTGCCTCCTATCTCCAACGCTCCTCGTCTTCAATGGGGGAACCATGAGAAGCAGAACAGATCCTGTCACTAACTCTAGTCATGTTTCGTCCATCCTAGTCACGACGTACGGTTCATTCAATGAAGCGGTGTCGTGGTTGCGAAACATGACAGAATTGAACGTGGATGTGATTTGCAGGGAAGTGCTCGAGGATTGGTACCGAAGAAAAATAATCTATGCACGATGACCTTTGAACAATCTTCCCCATGTTTACAAGAGTCTGGGATCATCTTCTCAAAAGCCAGGTTCTTAGAGACCAATGACATCTGAAAACGCTCTCTCTGCCGCCACCGAACGATCCCACCCATGCCCGTGTTCCGCGTGCTGGGACGACATGCAGGTCACTTGACAGCCGTCTTTGTGCTCACCTGCCTCATCAAGGCCGTCGTGCAGGTGCCAAGTGGTGTATCAAGTTGCATCGTGCCCAAACCACCATTGCAAATATCATCAAATATCCCCCAAATGCAGCAGTGTTCACACCACTCGAGTCTCTTTTGTTATGTTCAACATGCGGTGTCTTGCGCCGATGAGGTCTACCTGGCCTTCGCTTCCTTCTTCCTTTGGACGATCCTCTTCGCATTCTTGCAATGCTGCCTGGTTTTGCATTTCCAGGCCATCATATTCGTTCCCCCGACTGGATCCTTCTAGCAAATTGACTGGCAGAGATAGGGTGTGGCCCATGACCAGTTACAGTCGGTCAACGAGTGATTGCCATTTTTTAAGAAAAGGCCTGCGACCAGGCCCCATCATCCAATCATCCGCTCTGGTCAGGGGACATGACCAACATGACCACCACCATCCACCAGGGAATCGCCCTTGCATATCCGATCCGCTCCAAGCGATCCGCTCCATCAGGTTGGATCACGAAGATTGCCGCCACTTTCTGGTCAGCCTTGGGGCTTCTGACCCCAGAGCGTCGGCGAAAGGTTTTAGAGGTGAAGGACTATGAGACGCAGAGGGTCTATTGGTGAGACACATGGCCATCCTGGTGCCAACTGTGTGGTGCTTCTCCTAATGGCGAACAGAGTCATGTACAGGCCAAAATGTACAGGGAAGGCTAGTCCTTCCTGAAGCTCGCGCAGCCTGAATGACTATGTGCTGCAGCTCTGGTATAGGGACACCGCCTCACCAGCCCTGTCAATTTGTTCATGGAGCCTGCAATAAGGTGCAGGAGATCAGTACTTGCCGCAGGAAACCGTTTGCCCACGAGCAGCATCTTCATTTTTGTGGCAATTCCATCACAGCGGGGGAAGACAGTCCTTTGTAGTGCCGAGTGTTGGGGTGCTTCCGGCAGAGCTCAGCCATTTCTGATGTAAAGCATTTGAAGCCCAAGACCTGTCCGGTCCGGGCTCCGCGCATGCCACCCGTGCAGAGTGCGCGTTCGGAGCGGAAAGTGCGCTCCCGTAGCAGAGAAGTCTACAGAGCAGAGTGACCAGGCGTGAGCTGCAGCACGGGGGTACATCTATAGGCCTATAGGGGTAGTGAATAATATGTACTGGTTTTCCAGTGCATGACAGAAATCGACAGAAGCAAGATGAACCAAGTCAAACATATGTTGGAACATGACTAGATTTATGTTATTTTATGTTGGTCCATGACTTTGTATTCGACTTCGTATGTTGTGAAAAGTTATCAACATCGCACATTTGCACTTTGAGGGATCGACCAACGAAGAGGTGAGGTTGCACAGCCATGGACGGTGCATGTCCAGCCATGGTCTCCATCGTCCGGAAATTTGCAACCGACCTCATTTAGACGGTTGATGAAACAATCATCATAAGCCTCCCAACATGGAGATGTAAAATCACATAAAACATCATCAACCATTCTGGCGGGGTGGGGTGTGGGTGTGGGTGGTTTTGATCAATCAACTGTCACCAGCCTCCAGCATTTGGACTGGCCGCATCTCCAATTCCTGGGAGCTGCGCGAAGCTCAATCCGCGTCCGCGGTGAGGTTCCACGTGCCTCCCCGCGACGGGAGAGGCTTCCTTGTGGCCACGCTGGAGAGGGGTCTGGCGAGCGACTGGCTGCAACGCCTGGTGAACGAGCTTCGGGAGGTGGGTCCGCTGGGCCGAGCCGCCTCGGATGTCAGCGATGGCCGATGGCCTCCGGCGATGGCCTCGAAGCTAAGAGCGATGACCGAAGAGCGATGGCCTCCACCTTCAGGAGGGTTACAGCTTAGGAGGGTTGAAGTTCAACACCAAGCAAGCAAATACACTGCTGCCTTTCTAGCAGATGTAGCAAATCCTGAAATCACTTGGATGTACCCTCTGACTGATAACATGGAAGTGGAAAACGGCCTGTGTAGAGGAGAATGGTCTCTTTCCAGTGGTTATTTTGCACTTCCATGTTAGTGAATCAGATGCTAAATCCATTTATACAATGTTTGCAAGTCCTGAGTAAGAAGCCTTTAGCGTACCTATGACTATTTTAGCGTACCTATGACTATTCTCTATGACCATAATCCATAATTATATGGTATTATATGGTGGTATCAGCGGTGGTATCATGTCGGTCTTCTCTGGCTCCAACAAAAAATATGACAACGCGGGAAATCTCACTTTTTGAGCTCACATGGAGGTGCTTTTCGGACACATCACCTGCACCAGTTAGATTCTTTTCTCCAAGAAATCACGAAAGATCAGCGCCTTGGGGCTTTTGACTCAGCAGGCTTTGCCCAACACGCTGGGCGTGTTCTGCCATGCCTTGGCCGCCAAAGCCGCGGTCGCGGGCAGCTCTGCCGTTCCAGCAGTTCTGCCCTGGACGCGGCAAGACGGGGGTGGTGGACCAGGGGTCGGGAGCTTAGACGAGATGAGAATGGAGTATTCTTGTTTCTAATAGCTTCTTGCTACTACTAGTAAGGCCCTTGCTCCTAGTAGCGATGCACTTGTTCCTAGTAGCTTATTGTTTCTAGTTGAGGGTTCATTGCAGAAGAAAGCCGGCAGAACAATCATTACATGGATGAGCACTTCAGATGAATCGTGTTCTTGGCTGTGCGGATGACAAATATTCAAAGATATCTAAGCATGCCGTTTTCAAAGTCTGGCGATTGGATGTCGCAATTTGAAGCTGTGAGAGAAAGTTGCGTGCTCAAGACTATCAATCTAGTAATATAATATACACTAACAGAATATATTTGTATACTTCTATACTCATCTATACTCTAATATATTCAATAAATTACCTAATGATAGAATGATCACTGTCCACCGATGAATTTTCACCGGCCCATTCTCACATGAGCTGCACCAGGTGTCTTTGTTGCTTTGGGTGGCACCGGCCTCCACCAGCGGGGCACCGGCACTCCGATTCTCCGGTGGAGAAGTTGTGAGCTGCTGGGAAGCAGCCAGTGGGTTTGCAGACAGGTGCTGAACCGTGGATGTGGTTCTTCTTTGAAGCTACTAAGGGCTCCTGGCATCGCTACTAGGAGCAAGGACGCTACGAACGGGGCTCCTGGCCTTACTACTAGGAACAAGAGGACGCTACGAACGGAGCCAGGAGGAAGCGACCGGACCTACGAAGTGGGACACCCGGTCTCCGGGCGTGCCATCTTTGGTTCTTGTTTCGAAGGGGACGGACCGGTGACTCGTGTGAAGGTAGGGCGTTGCGGCAACGTCGTCGAAGCAGCAAAGTCCGGTAGATAGTTCACGACTGGGATGCTGGAAGCATGCAGGAGCTGAGGAAGGTTCCGAGAGACTGGAGGTTTGACCGCCAAACGACCGGTGGGAAGCATTTGCAAAGCAATTGATAGTGGATGAGTGTCCATGTTTCTCTAGGATGAGCAAAGACAAATAAGAACAGACTCGTGAAAGCAACATCATGTATCCCAAACCCGCTACAGTGATACAAGGCATACAGTATACGCAAAAAAAAGGGGCAGTATAGAACAGTTGCCCGCCACCCTTTTCAGCAAACGACTACATAGCTGCCTGGTTTCATCTAGTTATTCTTCTGTGTCTCAAGAACAAGCCAAAACGCATTCCGCCAAAAACGCATTCCGCCCCTTTCCGTTTCGGAACACCTTTCCGCAAAAGAAGAACACCATGAAACACGACAGCGAACGCCACGATGCCGCGAGGCTCTGCGCCCAACCGCGGCATCGTGTGGCACGAGAGGACGATGCCCAGGCCGCTGTGGCTGGAGGAGTCCTTGCCGCCGCCTGGAGCGAAGGAGGAGGATCGGAGAAGTTGTGACAGGCTAAGAATGGATCACGGCGGCGGATATTCTTTTTTGTTTTTGCGCCGAGACGCGTTTCTTGCGTGAGTTCTTTCGCTTTCTTTTTGGCGAAAAGGGGAGGTTTCAACGTGTTTCATATATTTATAGTCTCATGGAAGTTTTCATGGAGATGGTACATTTTGGTGTTTCTTTCTCTTGCAGTCCAGAAGATGTTTGGCACAATCCAAGACATTGGGCCTATGGAACTAGACGTATTGGTCTCCTCCGGAAGACCCAAGGGTTACTTGGGGTCTTAGCAAGGTACGTGCTACCCCTTTTGTTGGTGTTTCGCTCTCCCAGCCGGACGGCGGCTTTCGCCCTCCCCCTCCAACCCCCTCCCCCACGCACGGCTGACACCGCTCGTGCTGGGGTGGCTGACACCGCGGCCGCGCCGAGGAGCTACGCGCACCGCAGAATCCATTTGCTGCTCCGCTTCAAACGAGCGGACGCCGCTGGAAACGAACGAGCGCGGACGGACCGCGGCTGGGCGGGGTCAGGCGGCACGAGAGGCCGTGATGGAGGTGTTTGTTTTTTCTCTTTTTTTCTCCCATGTGCTAGGAGGTGATGAGAGGTTTTTGTTTGATGTGGTCAAATGTATTCATTTTTCGGTCATAGAATTTGAAGGGTGGCAAGGAACTTCTCTTCAGAAGTTGATGGACTGAATAGTTTTTGTTTTCAATGATGTATAGAGGGAGAAATAATGGGTGTTCAAGCATCATCGCTTCGCCGAACTTCTAACATTTGGCCTCAGCTGATCAGATAGACAAAGGCACATTGAAGCACCGGAGTCGAGATCTTGTGGGCAAAGTGAAGCATTCGACTGCATTTGGTGAGCCAAGTCCCAGTCCGATGAACTGCAGGGTTACTGTGTATTTCCCATTTGGATATCTGACACCCACTGCAAGTCGGGCAAATCCAAGCCTGCTTCAGCACAGCTATTACATCCCAAACACCCATCTCCACCAACAACCTAACAGCGATGGCCTCCAACCTATATACTAGCTTCTTGCTACTACTAGCTTCTTGCTCCTAGTAGGGCATGGCCTCCAACATAACATACCTATGGCCTCCAGCCTACTAGCTTCTTGCTACTAGAGTATCAAATCTTCACTTTCTTTCCCACGACAAGTGGAACTGGGCCATGTTAGCCACGTGGAAATTGAACGACGTTTGGTCCTGCACGTAAAGGCGCGTCGAAGCGCGACATTGGACGGTGTGACTGGATCGAGCCCCAAACCACCGGTGTCACTGGGCGTCGATAGGGTCCTACAGTGCACTTTGAAGCTGGATCTGTGGTTCTCAGTCATGTGACCCAGCCTACTTAGGGCTTACTTTGCGCAACTGGTTTGCGGGTGATGCTGCCGAGTGCGTGGAATCGCTTGGATGAACTCCTCTCGCCTATCCAAGACTTTAAATCATGTTTAATTTTGATGAAATCAAAACCAACTAGGTCCCATTTTTGTTGTGCCTTCATCCTAAGATGCCAAGCACATTTGCCAAGACCAGGGAGCTAAGCTGCAGGTCACGATGCAAAACTATGTACTGGTACTGGATGATGTGCCCACCAGTTTCTTTGCCCGAAGCTTACCGCCTTGCAGAAGGCTGGACCACTACGCCGTCCCTGCTACACCCATCTTGGCTCGAGCCGCAGTGTGTTCGAACGAGTCCCACCTTCTGTTCTCAGATTTTGCAGTCATGGTGTCGTGGTTGCAAAAAGCGAAGCGACACGATGTTTCCATGGAGTTCAGACCAAACGTAAGAAGAGAATAGAATAGAATACATAGAATATAGAGTTTGATCCAAACAGTTTTTGAGAAAGTCGGAAAACCTTGTGCCCCACCCTAGAACAACTGGACCTTTCCTGTCTTGAGCACCAGACAATAGGCCCAGCTAGGCACATGACATTCTCGTTCCCTTCTCATTCTAGAACTTGTTGAAAACACAAACAGCAAGATGTTCTGTGCTTTCACCAACACTTTCACTAGTGAGTTTGTTAAGCGATATATATATATATAATATATACACAAAATTTGAAAACATATATATATATATATTTATACAGTTATATATCTAATATTTATAATACGTAAATCATTCTACAGCAAATGTCCGGAACACATTCTCGCCTAAAGGAGCTCCACCTGGGGAGGAAACGCCCCAAAGCCATCCGCTCAAAAGTTCCGATGAGGAGTGAATGCCTATTGTTTGCAAGGGACTTCTTAGTTTTGCAGACACAGCCTCGCGTCATTTGGTGAGGCCACCAAGATCGGCATCAACGGCTTTGGGCGCATTGGGCGCATGGTCTTCCAGGTGTCTTCACGAAAGAAAGAAACGCGCCGCAGATTTTGTGGTGTTTTGTGGCCGCATGATTCATGATTCAACAAATCAAGCGCCGATGTTTCACAGACCAACATGGCAAGAGTCCAGAGTTGTTGAGCATTTTTGAGCCCTTTCTTGGTACATGAAGGACCCTGATACATGGCTAGTCTGGTGCTTTGACCAGCTTGACGGGCGAAGCTAATGAGCTTTATATGTGAGCTGATGATGTCAATTTCGGGGATTCCACTTCCTTTTTGAATTCCGATGTCCTGAGCTTTGCAGTAGCCTCAAGCGACCCATTTCGTTTTGCTGGTCGCACTTTTCGTGGTCGCACTGTCCGTCGTGACGGAGGCCATTTGCGACCAGAACCTCCTGGGCACCAAGTTGGATGTGGTTGGTGTCGTGGATATGTCCACCGATGCTGAATACTTCGCGCAGCTCAGATCGAATGAGACATGTAGGATCATGTAGGAGCGGTGGTCAATTCACAGGAATTAGGTGGCATTGTTTGAAGAGGGAGATGCCCCCAACTTCCCAACCAACAATACCCAGACACTCCATATCTTATTTGAGATTATGTATACATTTGAGTGTGTCCATTCAGGGAGTGCAGGTTCTGGGTTTTACAGTTTGAGCCACGGCCGCATTTATGAGTCAGAGGCGTATGAGCCAGAGGACCAGTTGGCTCTCCGTGTCGGGTTGTCGATAACTTTGAACCATTTGAAGCAATGGTCCTTCTCGGATTCAGGTGTTGGCAAATTACTCTGCTGTTGACTTGCTCTTGCAAGAAAGGGTGGCCCACCCAGTACTTAACAGAATACCAAGGCAGGTTCAGCTTAGATTAGATTTGTGCTTCTTACACTTCTCCCTGTAGCAGCGGCCCGACAGAATAGTCCAACTTGGTCGTGACTGGATTATAAGGCTGTGGCTTTGGATGACAAAATGACTCTTAGCTAAGGGGACCCTGGTTTGCCTTGGTTTTTGTGAACACAACTCCTACTCATCTTGAAGTTGAACAGTCACATTGACATTACAACAAGTATTCTTTTATAGAGACATGACGGGTACGCATATGTCTTTCTGAAGCGACCCAACCCCACTGAGCTTGAGTGATCCTTGCTCCATGGGAGGGATGGAATTCCGGGCCAAAGACCGTATCAGGTATCAGATGAAGCCTCTTGGCTACAGGTGGCTAGAAATGCTGCAAGATAGACTTAGCAAGAGTGGATTGGATGGAGTTGGTTTTTGATAGGCGAGGCGCGCAGAAACAAGGTCTTAAAGTAAGAAAGGGCCCAAGCAAATGGATGGGAGAAATTGCGTGGACGTTTGCAAGAAACGAGGAAGTTCGGACATGGTCACACAATTCTAGTCACTACTAAAGAAGCTCGCGAACTCAACTTCAAGGGCGGCGGGTTCAAACTTCAAATTCGATCCCGCGGCATCAATGCCTTCAACCTGATAGAGTCATGGCTGGGGATTCGGGAATCTACTGGTTCACGATCGAAACCAAGTGGGTGGTAGATTTGTCGGACGCTGGGTTCTGATTGTTCAAAACCAGGGAAGCTGCAGGTTTATTCATTGCCCAGCATGTTCCAAGCTCAGGGGTATTCCAGGTGTCCGTGCCTCCTGGCACACGATGGGCGGACCATTTACGTGCCTGTAAATGGGAAGAAGGCACGTAAATGTCTCATTGGTCAGGGTGTACCTTCTTTGTACCAAAGCAGGCTTGCAAATGCAACGAAAAACATATGTCATAGATGACCCCCCTTGTGGCTTGTTTGAAGAATTGACAACTTCATGTATGATTTCCCAAATGGACACATTCATTTGATTCATCCCATGAAAGATCGTGTCCTTACCCTACCCATTTTCAGATCTGTGAAGAAAAGACCGCATTGCAGCGAAGGCAGACACGGCATTTTTTATCCGTTTTGCTCGGGCCGGAGTCGGGCTGTTTAGGTATGACACCGTGCACGGCAAGTTCAAGCACGACGTGAAGATTGGTGAGAAGGACAGGGCAGCACTGGACAGGGCTGGTGATACTCAAATGGATTGATCTAGCGATATCTAGCGCAAGAGAGGGAGACCTCTCAAAGACCCCCTGCAAGAAGGAGAATAACCAACCAATGTGGGGTCTCCCTATTAAATTGCAGGCTCAGTAAACCAAAAACAATCGGCCAAAGATTATCCCTCCTTTTGAGATGTCAGCCTGCAACCAGGCCCCATCATCCACTTGCTCCAACAGAAAAAGAAAGGTCTTCATCCACTCCACTGGTGCACAGAGTAACAGATGGTCACAGATCCCTTTTGATCCACTGTGGATCCTCGGATCCCAAACCTTGATCCCGGTCCCTCAGAGTCGAGAAACCGGTGCCGCCACCGGCTTAATAAGCCGCCCACCGCTGGACGGCACCGGCCCCCGAAGGGTGAACCGCCCCGAACGCGACGACGGTTCAGGATGAGCTCATCGTGAATGGAAACAAGATCAAGTGCATCCAAGCCTCTCGCGAGGGTCCCAAGGCACTGCCCTGGAAGGAGCGAGTCGCCACGGTTGCGTGCCCGACCACGGGCGAGAGGCGGAGGGTTCCTCATGGGTCCTAAGGTAGCTGCGGTTGGCGCGCCGGGGGTGGTGGGGACCGGTCTTCCACCCCGGTACGAAGTCGGGCAAGATGGGGCAAGAAACGAAGAGAGGTGTATGCCAGACAGAGGTGTTCAAGACATAGAATCTAGAAGCTACCCAGATGAGGTCCTAGCAAGTCCAAAGGACGGGTTAAACTGGTGCGTTACTAAAGAACTGGTTAAACTGGTGCTGTGGGTTGCTCTATGACTTTTCAGTGTGGGTGTGTTTTGTTCCCTTTTGTTGGCCCAAGATGGCCCAGTCCGCCTATTTTCGTCCAACTGTCAGGTGGAGTGGAGAACTTGAAATTAGCCCAATGTTCTTTTTTAGTATTTATTTGATATCCTTTGTCAATTGCAGTTGAAGTTAAAGGCTGTAAGATGTTCAGGCTCACTTGCCAAAATAACATTAGTTTACCACTTTGGACCAGAGGCTTCGGAGTTCCCAAGCACTGAGCCTTGCAAGTGGCCTGGAGCAACACGTGGTGTGAACAGCAACACTTCATTAGTACTTCTGTGTTGAAGTCCATGATTGGTATGGTAGACCTTGTTCTTTGTTTGCGTATGCCTTCCCCCCATGTCATGTTGTTTGGGGAACAAGTAAGAACTCCTCAAGACCGGAAACAGACGAAATCTGCCTCGGTTTCCAAATGGTATTAATCTGCTGATCGTTTGGGATGTGAGCCCTAAGTCCCGATGGTCGCGTGGCCGATCAACGTCGTCCACGTGGTCGAGTGGCTGTCTGGCGGTGGGCCGGCCGTGAGGAGCTGGGCGTGGAGTATGTCATTGAGTCTACTTGCTCAGATCGTTCTTTTTTTTTTTCCGTATTCTCCTGTTGGAAGGCTCTCTTCATCTCAGTTCAATAGGTGAGTTTTACAGGGAATGACCAGGAGCTTTTGCAGTGGGATATCAGGATGAGATTGCGCTTTAACCCGACCAAAGTATATTTCATTTATGTTCGGACTCCCAAAAGCAATCAGTTTTTTCCCAAAAGACCCCCTCCAATGGTTCAATGGGTGGGCTTCCGAACGCATCCGAAGACACGCAGCTGGTCATGACCTGGACCCAGATCTCAGACACTGATGGGCCTCATCCAAGGTCCACTGGTCTCTTCGTTGAGGCTGACAAGGCCTCCCGTCGACGGGACTGGGGGAGGGGATGCTCCAGGCTTGTGCCATTGCGTCCCAGACGGGCTGCGGTGGGGGGGTGAAGAAGAAACTGCTGGGGAAGTCTGTGGCTAGCCGAGAGTTCATATATTATGTCACGTTGGTGGAGCGAGGAACAATTTTGGGATGTTTTTTTGGGGGGTTACTATTTGGCAATATGCGACGTTGCAGCCAGATGACATACATGTATTTATACCAGGCCACATGTTGAAGTGATCTTGGAGCATCCAACATCGTGTTTGGCAAGTTGGAGGTGTTTTTGGTTTGCCAAGATACAGCTGAGAGAAGCCAGCTTCAAAGGATATCCCTTCGGTGCTCTTGCCGCTCTGGCCACTCAACTCTGTGCCGGTTGCGCTCCGTGGGGGCTCGGACCACGCGCCCGCCGTGGCGTGTTCCCTAGGCCAAGGGCCACATCGAGGCAGGTGCCAAGAAGGTGATCATCTCCGCTCCCGGCAAGGGCGATCTGAAGACCTTGGCCCCTCGGGCCGCACTGAGGGACATGAAGCGCCACAGCGGTGAAGCGTTTCCCATCGCTGAGAAAACACCACATTCCGCATCGAAAAGCTGTCCAGACTTTCGGACTCATTTAGACTCCACAGCTGGTAGCAACTCTCTCATGGTAGCTTCTGGCAGCTCGGTTTCTGGCGCCTCCGACTCAGCTCTACTCCGAGTCGAGGTGTGCGGAGTGAACCACACGGAGTACGACAAGGCCAAGCACGACGTGGTCTCCAACGCCTCCTGCACCACCAATTGCTTGGCGCCCGTGGTGCATGTGCTCCTCAAGGTCTGCACGGAGACCGATACGTCTCGCCAGGGGGCCCGAGACGTGATGCCCTTCCCCCCCCTCCGTGTGACTCGTGTGAGTTGGCACTTTGGATCATCCATTTTGGATCATCCATGAGTCATCCACGCAACACGGATGTGTTTTTTTCCTTTATGTTAGTGTTTTGGAGGGAGTGGTTCTCTAGGCTCTTTATGGGTTGGATGACTCCTCCCAGCAACAGGTTCTCGAAGATGGCGGAAAGATGCGGAAAGAGTTTTTTCTTTTTCTGGGGGGAGGGTTAGGTAGAGAAATCATTCATATCTTTTTTCATTTGTTCCTGTGCGGGGTGACGACGGTGATGGTCTTTGTAGCACGAGAGAGGCGAGCAAGTGCGAGCGTGACTCAGGGTCCCTTTCGCATACCTGCATGCAAACCGTCAGGATCAAGGCGGCATGCAGCCTGTTGCACAAGCCTCCAATTTTGATCATTTGGGATTTAGGGTGTGATCCTTAATGCAAGGGACAGTCCTGTGAGTGCTATGCACACCCAACCTAGCATCCAAGGTAGACAAAGGGGGGGGTCCGGGGTCCACCAACGATAAAAAAAAAGAAGGATACCATGGTGGCCTTGACCAACTACACCTTCAAGACATCCGAAGCGGCACTTAGAGGAATTTGTCTCATTTAACTTAGAGGAATATCTTTGGGACCAGGCCCAAGGTTTATTGATCGGTTCGGAGAACCGTCCATCGTTTTTTACTTGTCTTGGCCCAGAGGGAAGCTGTTGCAAAGCAGTCAGAACCATTGTCCCAAAAATTCCGATACGCACTAACCCTTTGGGCCTCTCACTGTTGGGAATTACTGTAGTTATGACGGAGTGCGAGGTGCGAATCAATTTTGTGCGAGGTATGAATCAATGCCTTATTTTATTCCGTGATGCCTACTGTCAGGAGGGCATTGGCATTGAGAAGGGTTTGATGACCACCATCCACTCCTACACTGCCACTCAGAAGACTGTGGATGGAGTCTCTGCCAAGGACCACCAGCAAGCACGTGTTGTTAGCGAAAGATACAGTTTGCGCACAATTCACTGATCCTAAACATTCATACAAGTCTGGCTGCCTGGCTTATGTCCGATGCATTTTTAGAAGGCATAAGGCAAGTTGCTTACTTGGCCCCGCAGCTAACGCAGCCCCAGGTCTCTGTCCGTCTTCTGCGTTGGCTTTTCAGCAGTCGCATGAACATGTGTGTCACCTTCGTTGCAAGCTTGACAGGTGCTAGACTTGTCATGAGTGGGAGGCTCCATCGCAAGACATACAGATGCGGTGCATACTTTCAGAACATGGGTGGCATGGTCGTACAGACGTTATGGCACACATTTGCCAAAGCTTCACCAGATGCTTACTAGTAAGGCCCTTGCTCCTAGAAGCAATGCACTTGTTCCTAGTAGCTTATTGTTTCTAATAGCCAATTAAATTACTGTAAATTAACGAACAAGACAAACATAGAGCACAGTTTCTTGGCTGCCATGAGCAAAACACGAACAGGAGCCCAGAGAAACCGCGAAGAAAACAACATGTTGCAACGCACCCGGTCACGGAAGTCAAGATGTCGTCCTTTTCCATCAGGTTTCTGATGCTTTCCTTTTGGAGACTGTGATTGTAGAGCCGCAGAGCCAACAGTAGTTGAAGTACTTGCCCGAACTGCACAGGATCGGTGCCACGTGGTGACGTGTTTTGGCTCTAGCGGCTGACATGGTTGGTTTGTTCTGCACGTTCGCGGCTGCAGGAACCAACCATTCTTTTCCGATCCTGTGATATCTCATGAGAGTGGTGCCTGACACAGATGCTCATGACGAGCAAACCATCTTCGAGTTTCTATTGCACACGCGCTAACACGCGCTAACATGCGCTAAGCTGAGAACTGCAGTGCTTTTCGGGGATGGGAAACCTTGGAATGATGGGAATCGGAATAGCCACTGAAAGCAATCATTGGTCATATTTTGATTGGCCGAAGGCTCCCGAATTTCACTCGAAAAGAGAATTCATGAAAACCGATGCGTGGGGAGGGGGACGTCGAAGGACGTGCAGCACTCCTTTCAAAAGAGGCCCAGCCCCAAGACATGAGGGATGCCATTTTGATGTTTGCAAGCGCTGCTAATTCTTTTTGTGTCATATGAGTCATATGTGTTTTCGATGTTGTCACCTTTTCTGGCTGTTGATTTGGTATGACTGTATAGTCACTTCACTTTGTGATAGTACTGAGGCTGGTCAGATACTGTCATACTGTTTGTTGTTATACTGTATCTTGTTGTCACCAGGACCAGTCATGTCCGCTATCATTTTGCTTGGTGTTTGCAGTTGTCACCCTGCTCGTCGCCGTTCCCCTCTTCCCCTCTCACCCCCTCTCGACCCCTCTCAGCGCCTCTCGGCCGCCAGGACTGGCGTGGTGGCCGTGCCGCCGCGTGCAACATCATTCCCAGCGCCACCGGGGCGGCCAAGGCCGTCGGCGAGGTGCTGCCAAGCACCAAGGGCAAGTTGACCGGCATGGCCTTCCGCCCCTCGGAGGGTTCACAGCGACGGATCGGCAGACCGTCTCGCGCGGTGAGCACGGAAGAGGAGGAGAGAAGGTTTCGAGCTGAAGAGTCGAAAGCTGGGAGCGAATGTGGGAAACAGACCTCAAACAAGTGGACTCCATATCAAACATGTATCAAACATATAGTAGGTCTGTTCACTCAGCTTGTACCAAAGATCATCCATTTCCCTCATTGCGCCAATTAGTTTCAGGATCAATCAGTGCTGGGCGATTTGAACCCCTTAGCTCTCTTCGAGTCCTGGATTCGGAACTCCGCCACTCGCGGCTTTGTGCGACGGCAACTGCAGGCGTGCCCACCCCCGATGTAAGCGTGGTGGACTTGACCTTCACGGCAGAGAAGGACACTTCCATTGAGGAGATTGATGCCTTGATGAAGAAGGCGGTCCAAGAGAGAAACCGTGGCGGAAATTTTGGAGCGGCGGAAATCTTGGATTTGCTGTGGGCGTGGTGCAGGTGGTTTTTGGGCCTTCACATGCACCAGACTCAGACCCTAGTATCTAGGCTTTTTGTAGGACAAGGAGTGGCGAGACATAGAGGTTGAACTCATGTATATTTATATAGATTAGTGTCAAATTAGTGTCTTTCACTTGTCAATCAGTGAGTCAGTGAAGATAAGGTTCACGAGGATGTGGAGGTTTGCTAGTGTCCCCGTGTCCAGGCTATGCCAGGGCTGCTCCCTTCAAACTCAATCAACTCTGTTTCATACGGAATGGTGTTGGCCTAGCGGCCTAGCGATCGTTTTTGAAAGTAGGACATGAGAAAATCTCGGGGAATCGTCATGTCCTGCCCAATCCATCATCATCAAGCCAGATGCCCAGCACATACCCCCAAAACCTCCCAAAACCCATGCTCTTCCCAATCAGGGCCGGTGCCCCAACGGCAGGCATAGAGAGTGTCCATCTTCGCAGGCCACCGATTCTTACATGAAGGGCGTCCTCTCCTACACCGATGAGGAGTTGGTCTCCGCTGACTTCATCCACAACGTGCCGCTCGGCGACCTCGCGCTGGAAGACCGCCCGGACGACGTCTCGGCGGTCCGCAGGGGGGGTCGCTCGCTTGGCTGGTGGTGCTTTTGACGCAGCCTGTGCCCAGGAACTCCTCCATCTACGACTCCAAGGCCACGTTGCAGAACAACCTCAAGGGCGAGAAGCGCTTCTTCAAGATCGTGTGCCTTGGACTTCGACGGACGAGAGGCGGCATGGAATCATGGGTCACATCTCTGTCAACCCTAAGATCTGGTAGGTTGACCTCCTATTCGGTCTATTCTGTCTATTTTCGGTGGTCAACCAGAGTCCACGCCCCTTTGTTCGAGAGATCCCAAGTGGGTGGGGCAAGGAGTTCTTTTGCATTTGGGGCCCCGGATGAAAAAGGCCAGTTGATGAGAGCTGGCAGTGTTTCGTGATTTTGCCGGAGAGATGTTGCAGGAAGAAGTTGAATTCTTCAACGACGCCGATGCTCAGCAGGTATTTTCGAAGGATAGCAGAACCTTTTGAAATCTTGAGACACATTTCAGCATTTTGCACCAAGTGAACAGCTCTTTCGGAAGCTGGGCCGAACTCTTAAACTATCCACATGCAGTGGACATGCAGGTCGTTCAGTGAGCTCAGCTAGTGAGTTCAGCCATCCAATCGAGCTTTCAGGACCCATGGTTTCATAGTTGGATTGGTTTCAGCCCCCCCAACCAACGCCAGCACCAACGTCCAGACCCCAGATGGGGTGGAGGGTGGAAGAGGGAGCCCAGCACCATCGTCCTGTGGCGTCCCATTAAACCCCCGCCCTTAGGGTGCAAAAAGATGCTTAACCCACCTTTTCTTGGGATGGTTGGCTCATGTTGGTTCATTTTTATGTCACGTGCAAGCGCGCCGTGCATGGCTGGTGCAATGCAGCGGGCCACTCGGGGTGGTTAGTCTACAATCCTCTTGCGCACCCTTCCTAACACCCTTCTGCCACGACCTACATGGTTCTTCAATTTGGTTCCCGCCAGGTCTTGGTATGACAACGAGTGGGGCTACAGCAGCTGGGCTGCACATGGGGAGAAAACGGGAATGGCGACTGAGACGGGCATTGAGTACCGGAGTACTAGAATCTCCAAGTGCTGTGTTGCAATGTAGCTTTGTCACAGAGGTTGGAAGATATTGATTGGGGGGTTAACTCTCTGGTTGAACCTTAACACATTTCACAGCTGAATGTGAGTGCATCCTCAAGTTGTGGACCTCTGTTATGATGAGATCAGCATCGAATCAGTTTCTGATTAGATTTGATTACATATACTCGTACTTCTCTAAAACGAGTTATTCTCTCATCCTGGCTCAGCTGTACAAGAAACGTCAATTTCTTGCGCCTTTGTGGCATGCCTCGTGTCGCCTGGTGTCCCTATCAAGGCCTTGTTATGTTGGTGGTTGGTTGAGGCTTTCAATTTATCTACGGGACTGTAGGGCGATTGGATTGAGATAGGCAAAGTTATAGGCATATATATTGCTTGATTTTCAGGTGGGCAGGCCAGGTGAATCTAAATTCCTAAGCACTCGATAGCTTCTCTGTGTCCTTGGGCTTAGATTCAGTTCCTTGTTTCTTGTCACCCCGAACACCGTTCTTCCCGTTCCCCCCCTTTAGCTCCTGCGGGGCTTCATGTGTGGGGATGGGACCCGACTCTGCCTTTGCCACCCTTTCGGTATGGGTCTGCAGAGTTATGTATATAAGCCCTTGACTGCCTAGTAGATTGCATTTCCAAAGGCCAAGCTAAGTGAAGAATTCGTCGCCAGGCAACAGGGTTGTGGACCTTTTGATGTACATGATTGCGGCCTAGATTTTCTGAGTTCGACAGTCTTCTGGTCCTGGATGCGACATGAGACCCGGCCCATGATTGATGTCATCAGATTGGTCCGCGGTTGCCGACATCTCTGTTCAGTGGTTCCTAGACATCGCGTTGAACATGCAGCCGTCAGCCCCAAAAGTAGAGAAACACGTTGGGCCTCAGAGGGGTGCAGCTTTTTTTCGCTTCTTCCAGCGTCCGTTTCGGTTTGTTTGTTGTGATGTCCGACGCGGGCCATCCTGTTGGCCTTTGAAAGTCGCGGTGCTGAAGAGATCATGGCATCACATGGCGTGTATCTGATGGTTTCGCTCAATTTTCGAGCCGGACCCCAAGCGGGTCACAGACAGAAACAGACAAAGATGTTGGAGAAATGGCCGCGCAGCTTGGTGGCCTGGATTCTTTTTGGGGTGTTGCCCTTGAGGGCCAGTGGAGGCAAGTTGACTGGGAGTTGGGAGTCCTGAAATTTGCGACGGATTTCACCCGCGAGGCAAATTGGATTGAAAACACGGATGCCGGAGATTCCCTTGGTGGATCACGCTAAACTTTTGCAGCAAGCGTACTCTGAACCCGTTTGGTCCAGAGCTTAGTCTCTGATAAAGCTTAGGCTTAGTGAGTTTGCTAAGGGATTCATCAAGCTTGTCAAAGGAAATTCCGGAAACACATGGTTATTCAGATTCGATGTTCCACAGATTGACAGATGTTCCATCTCAGGGTGAAATCACAGCTGCAAGTTATCCCCCGATAATAAAAGTCTAAGCCACACACATCACTTAACGATTGTCGCAGGCTCGCAGGAGAGCTCTCCCCCTCTGCCCCAGAAGAAAAGACACCTCTTTTACAGCCACAGATTGCAGGAGTCACCCTTGGTGGCCCGCACCACCTCGCGCGACCTCGGTGGGCGCGCCTTCGGCCGTCCCCTCACCCTTCGACCTTGGGAGAGGCGTGGTGCGCGGACTCGAGGATGTTGGATCCCTTCGAAGAGGCCTCCGCCCAGGCAGAAGCGGCGGCATCCTTTCTGGGGGGGTCGAAAGGTGTCGAAAGAGATGAACGTATCTGGACTCCGAAAAGGCCAGAACATGGGGTTGGTGCAGCAGCCATCCTGGAGGCAACAAGAGGTTTGCTTTGACCATAACAGCAGCAGACGTGTGGAAGAACTTAGTGGAACTTGATGGAGCTTGTCTGCTTTACATTTTGGGTATTTTGGAATGACAGATTAACATGTTGTTCAATGGTCGTTCCTCGAATTGAAGGATGCACACACACAGCTTCATTTTCAGCTGTGAAGGATGCGACGTTGAGACGAAAGGGGCCCCCAGTCGTCATTTTTTCAAGTCCGAAGGCCCATGATTCTAGGCGGGGACTTCAAGACTCCCTGGGAACATATATGCATATAAGTATGCATATATATATACATATATGTATATATATATATGACTATATATATGTTCTCATGTTGTTTTTCCACCCCAAACGTGAAAGAGAAGAACCGACCCTTGGACCCTGACGTGATCGAACAGTTCGGAACCTTGGGATACCTCGAAGAGGTTGGGGACATGTTGAGAGCCCTTCTACGTTCAAAAAGGTTTTTGTTTTTCCCGTGTGAGGCGATGGAGGGCTGGGACCCCTTCGAGGCAGCGAAGCGATGGGAGGATTTGTGAGAGTAGACTGATTCTATGAGAATAGCCCTTCGGGGGGGGTTCATGTTTTTGTTCTTCAGAGATGACATGAAGAGTCCACATTGCATATATCATTACATCAATTTCGACGTTCCCCTGCGCCCTGCTATGGACTTCCGGAGGTCGATTTTGGGGGGTCCATGGCCAGTTCTCGAAGGATGGAGCGAAAGAAGGAACCGAGCGCCATGAAACATGTTCCATGGTGGTCCATGGCCGAGAATCATTCACCTGATCCATCCCTTTTCGCACGGAGGGGAGGACCTGAGGCGGTGGAGATTGCATGGGGGTGGCACCAGGCTTCGCCAGGCACAAGCAGGCTTGTGGTTGTTGCTTCAGGTTTGAAGTCAGCAAAGCTATGGGCAATTCCCAAGACTTGTAATTAGGCAATTATTGAGTATTGAATCAAATTCCAAGAACGGCACATGTTCAACTACACTCCAGCAGAGACTGCTGATTTCTTGGGAAGGCATCATCAGGACTAGTAGTTTAGTAGTCGTAGGCAGCACACAGAACTAAAAACGAGACTCGTCACTCACACCTCCAATCGTGTTTTTTTTGTTTTATTTTTCAGTATTTTTTCCAAACTCCATCAAACTCCCATATCTTTTTTTCATTTCCAAGGGGGCCTTCTAGGGAGGTCAACATGCAGAGCTCATGGAAGTCATGCACAAACACCTGCAGAGCTGGTGTACGTGTTTGCATAGTCATTGAATGAATTCTTCCACTAGCGGGCCGCCTGTTTCCTGCCCAGCGCTGCTCTTCGAACGCGGGTTCGAACAAACTACAGCAGCCTCGCCTCAACATACTACAGTCACCTAAACCGCAGGGCTCCAAGAATCTAATTTTAACAGAAGCTTCTTGGGACGACCGTTGGACCTATCGCCTCTTGCATATTTGCCGACGAAGCCCCTTTCGTGGGGCTGGAGCGGAGGATCCCGAGATGCTGGAGCTCACCGGCGAGCTGGCGATGCAGTCCGAAGATGTGGAAGGCTTGGAGGCGCTCCCAAACGTCCCAAAGGGATCCAAAGGGAAGCTAGTAGTAACAAGTGCCTCGCTACTAGTAACAAGTGCCTTACTAGTAGTAACAAAAAGCTTTTAGAATTAAATTGAGAATTTAATTAGAATTGAAATTACTAGCTGGAAGAAGATTTGTTTCTACTGGCTTCTTCTTACTCTTAGTAAGGCACTTGTTACTAGTAGCGATGCACTTCTTCCTAGTGGCTTCTTGTTTCTACTAGCTTCTTGTTGCTATTAGTAAGGCACTTGTTACTAGTAGCGATGCACTTGTTCCTAGTAGCTTC